CGCCGCGTTGTTTAAATAGCAAATGTATTTGTGCCCATGGGCGTGCTGGTCTAAAAAAGAGGTGTGTTCAGGCGCACTGTTGGCGCGTTGCTATTTAGAGGAACTGAAAATAGACTGCACCATAGACCAACTCAAACCTGGTCTAAAATATTTCTTTTGTTATTTAAAGAGCGCGCTAGTAATATGCGCCTATAGGCGGGTGCACAACGCGCGTATACTTTGCTTATTACACACACACACAGGGACGTGCAGCAGCACACAAACATTTTTAAAAATGAAAAATTACATTCCGCCATGTAAATAGCGAACCCACCATGATGCAAGCGCAACTGGCTTTTAAAGGGGATGAGACTCTGATTGGTTTATTGCACGTTACGCCCAAAAAACACCCATTACTCATTAAGAGATAAGAGAATACCCGTTTAGACCATGTGCCTGGGCGTGCCGACTGTTTTCCCATCGTATATATATATATATATATATATATATATAGAGAGAGAGAGAGAGAGAGAGAGAGAGATATTTTGTAATAAATTTTTGCATTTTACAAGATATTTTAAATTTGAAAAATATATTTTCGTAAGCAATGTTATTTACTAAATATATTTAGCATATATTTGAAATGCGTTTTTTGGCCAGAATTTATTTATTGTATGGGATTAAATACACTTAACGCTGCACATTAACTCGAGCAAGCACAGTCAAAGTTCAGTTAATTCCTCAATCACATTATCTAGGTTCGTTTCATTAAAACATTTACTTCTAAAAAGGTGAATTAGTTCAACTGAAAGTTTTAAAGAGTATGTAAATGTATTCATGAAGTCAGCCTGCTAATAGCTTTCTTATAGTCTCCGCGCATTAAACTGAAATACGAAAAACGGATTTTAACATCAGAAAAAAACAGACACTTAAGCTTTAAATGGTCAAAACATATACCGTCTCGCACCATGTTCCGCGTTTCTGTTGTCTATGCAAATCGAGATTGCTCAGTCAAGAGTTTTCTGGGTCATTCACAGCTGGCTCCTGTCCTTGAGCCCAGGGTGAGCAGAAGCTGGGTGTCTAAAGATGCAGACCAACATGACAGTGAGAGCAAGAACAACTGACAGCGAGATCCAGATGCTTGTTCTCCCTACATTAGAGAGAGAGAGAAAGTGCGTTTCTCTCTAATCCCGCACAGGACCCCGATTTATTTTAAAGCCGCTTTCCAGTCTTAAGCTCACTTTCTGCATCCAAAAGCGCACAGCACTTAGGCTTTCCACTACTCCGTTTACTCTGTCTTCCCATCGTTTACAGTCACCGAAACCCTAAAGTGCCTCTGTTGATGTGGCATCAGTGCTAGGTGTGATTGGAGGTAAACACAGCAGAAGAAAAAAATATGAGATGATGCACCCAGAGGAAGGGATTTTTGTTGTGCATCCATCCAATCAAGAGCCAGATTGTATGCATGCCTATGTGTTTTAAAGGAATAGTTCAACTTAAAAATGAAAGATATGCTCATAACAAATTCTGTATTACTTTTTCTTGAGATGAACACAACATCAGATATTTGGGAGAATGTTCACGCTGCTCTTTTCCATACATTGAAAGTGGATGGGGACTGGGGCTGTCAAGCCAGAAAACAAGACTCTTGCACTAAATGTCAAATGATCTGATGCGATACAATGAGTTTGTGTTGTTCACACATATATGTATATTGTGATATAAAATTTGTGGTTTTGTTCATACCACTCAGTCCTGAAGTGAAAGAGTGCTTTTTGTGTGGCTGCAGGCGTGAATGTGTTTGTGTTGGTTATACTGTCACACCTGCTCCTGTGGGGTTCCCGCTTCCCGTTTTTATGCCCAATCAGCAGTTCATGCTCCTGCCAGCCAATCACAGAGCAGCATTCCAGAGCAGGAGCTGTTATTCCTGTGGATTTAACCAGAGATTTCCAGCACTCTCAGTTCACTCTCTCCTCACCTTCCTTTCTCAATCCTAAAAAAATCATGGAGATTTTAATAGTGAATATGCATTTTCTAATTATGCTAAATTGTTTAATCAGCTAGAAATACTCTTGTTGAGTGCAGTC